GTGGCCTTGAAAAAAGTAAACAAACCTATAAATATCACTGAATATCACTACATAATGTGTAGACTAGGAACCGACCGGAATGGGCTTTTGGCTGCCGGACCGGATTTTGCCGGATATCAATCTATTAGTATTATCCGGTTAGCCGGATTTTGCCGGACTGGAACCGGTTGTTAGGAAGGGCAAATATAAGACTGCCGGAAGAATAAGTCAAATATCAAATCAACAAGCAGTACGTTGTAACAAAAGTAACCAAGAAGTAATTGTATGCAAGTTATTATCAGAAATAATATGCAATTGGCATAGAAACCACTTTTCTCCACGTTTCATGCTACCCTGTTCATTATTAGCAGAAAATATTTGTTCATTTTCCGAAGTCCGCATCTACCCCTCGATACACAATTTTGGACTCGGGGCTTCCGCTTGTAATGTGATCTCAGAAGGCAGGCCTCCCCTTTGCAACACGAGCTCGGAAGCGGGAGCTCTGCCCTCAGAGGTACGTATCGACTTCGAGAATGACTCGGACCAATGGAACTAATTCAAAAAAATCGTTCAGCTTTTCCGAATTAGTTTTCCATAATGCCAAAAATTGGATCAGCTAATCCTCATCCTGGACATATATTATATAATTACATTATAAACGTAAAGTAAAATGTTTACAGCAAATAATTGTGGCTAACCACTTGGTCATCAGAACTTGTTCTCCGTTTTCCGCTCATTGGACCAGGTGTGAGCTCGCATGCTTGTGAACGTGGAATATGAGTGTATCATGTGTACTTAAAAAGTCTGATAGAACATAGAAAACAAAATAGTTGACTGCTTGAAAGCTTAATAATAAACTGCGAAAGAGAGGTCAACGTAAATAAAACAACGTAAATATAGGAGACCGATCTGCAGAAAATCCTGTCTACATCGCGTAAGATCATATTTTCAAGCTGGAGAGCTGGGTTATTTCACCGCTATCGTCTAATTCGATTGGAGAAGCAAAAAATAGACAAACGAACTCGGTCTTATCCTCGATGATTACTTTGTGCAAGGGTCAAAATAATAATAATAATTAACTTGTAATAGGGTGGAAAATGAACATATATAATGCAACAATAAAAATACAAATTCAATAAATCTTGCAATATTCATCTAAAAATAATGTTGCGAAGAATTATTCATTATAATTGTTAGGCTGCAGGCTTGGCCTATGAGTACTCCGTACTCATAAAAGGTTTACATGGTTTACAAGGTTTACAAGGATTACAAGGTTTACTAGGTTTACAATAATCCATAACCTTCTAGAATATTCTGATATATTTATTCTATTTTTAGGTCAGGAACGGTTCAAAATGAGTTTATAACAAGGTAAATATTTATAATAATAGATATTTTGGTAAATTTCCTCGGAAGGCAGGCCTCCCTTTTCCGAAACGAGCTCGGAAGCGGGAGCTCTACCCTGCCCTTTTTTTAAGGAGGAAGTAAGTCCATTTTTGAAGTTTTGGACATGTATATACTGCGTTCATCAGTTTTTCGCGCTCTTTCAGATGCACATAGTCTCAGATCTCCATTTTGAAGTTTATAAAATAATGGGGGAGTAACTAGACAGAAAAACCTCATCTTATTTTTTTTAAAGGAAGTAAGTCTGCCCTGTTGGAGAATTCACTTGTAAAACTTGTTAACTTGCTTCCTTTAAAAAAAAACACTTCCAATATTATCTAGGGCACAAAATTCAATTCAGGGGAGTAACTCAGTGATTTTTAAAAAAAAGAAGTAAGTCAGCTTGGCAGTCAAATTTGGGGAGCTTTTCTACACTTCCGCATGAAGTTGTGTGATAACCGCTTACAGTACAATCAAAAGCTTGGTCACATCTGAAAATTTGGACAATTATCTGTGATATAGAACCCCTAACTAAGGCAACTAATAAAAAATGGATGTTTCTATCTCACTGACGCGAAAGTTGAATTATCTCAAAACGGCAAAAAGTGACTTACTTCCTTTTTTTAAAAAGGGCAGTACCGTCAGAGGTAAGTATGTAATAATTTTTAAAGGATTCGAGTCAAAATTTGACGAAAAATATGCATTTCAAGATATTAGAAATACATTTTTTTGAAGAAATATCCGGCAAAAATTTCGGAAACTGGACTGGAACCGGAACCAGATATTGAAGCCGGATATCCAGCCGGAACCGGATTCAGCCGGATACCACAGTCACAGTTCAAACAAGAATACAAATGTTCCAATGAAAAGTAATAGTGATCAATTACATTATTGAATGATGATATTCTTATCTGCCAACTACTACTACTACAGTACTACTATGTCGGAACTAAGTCCGATCTACGCCAGATAACCCCCTCCAATATATCCCTGTCCCGCATCAGGGTCCGCAGTTCCTCTTTAGATTTTGTCCTAACTTCCTTCAGTAACATAGACAAGCAGCTTTGTCTTGGTCGGCCTTGCTGTGCTCTACCGTGCGTAGGTTCCCAATTAAGACTAAGTCACTGGCAAGTAGCTCAGGATGTCGGATGCAGTGTCCCGCCATTTTTACTCTCCTGCTTCGTAACTTGTTTGACAGCCTTGGTAGGCTACCATACAAAGTTATATTGCTGACCTTGTCCTTACATGAGATACCCAGCACCATACGCAACATCTTTGTGTATGTCCCGTCCAAACTTTTCTCTTGAGCCTTTGTCACTTGTCAGTGTCCAGGTTTCTAATCCGTAGAGTATTACTGATTCACAAGCCGCTATGAACAATCTAATTTTTAGGCTCTTTGCGAGTTTGGATTTCCAGATATCCTTCAGTCTATGTAGGGCACCTCACGCTTTTCCCTTTCTAACCCTTATCTCCGTATCTGTGCTCTCAATCCAGGAGCCTAAGTAGATGAAATCTTCCCAATTTTCATGGCTTCCCCGGATCGACTTTGTAGGTCTCTAGATCGATCCTCCATATCTGCCAAATCTAATTTATATGATCGGCGTGGAGGTATATCATGAAATGTCAAAAAGTAACGACAGAAAATAGAAAGACAGGTTCGTCTTAATGAAGTTAGGATATTGCGGAATGGGAAAGGGAAACAGCAAAGTTTAGAAGTGATCATGGCAAACGCTGATGCATTCCCAACGAACTAGAGAGTTTAATTATTTGAAAGATGACACCAGAGAAATCACTAGCCACCACCAGTCATGGGAGTCAACTGTCAAGACCCGTGTTTCATAAACCAACTTAAATCATGCAATCCGTACTTGATATATATAATACATATATATTATATATATATAATAATAAATAATAATAATAATAATAGTTGTTGCTTGGTTTCCCAAAGAGAGTGCTCGACTGCAGTTAAGCAGTAGCATTATAATTCGAACAATTGAAACAAATCAAATTGGCGGGCAAACGATCCGTTTCATGATATGTATAAAACAATACCAATCATCAGTGCCAAATAGAATAATGAATTGTAGCCTAGCGGGTGGAACTTTATATCGCACGTGCCCGCGCGTGCGATGGGGCTTCTTTCTCAGTCACTGACTACTGAGTGCCTGATTGATATTATCCTTCCTGATACTCTGGTATGACTAGCTATTTTCACTCATTCAAGAAATATATCAAATCAAGTTATTGCAGTGTTTAGTAGGAATTATCGCAGCCCTTGACAGACAAGGTGAAACAAAACAAATAACTAGTGTAAATTAAATGAAAATAATTTACGTTTCGGCACTTTTACCGAGGTTACTGATTGAAAATTACAAGGGTAGGCTAGTATATGTATAATATGATTATGAACATAAATACAATAGCCTGGGGTCCCCAGGTAAGTGTGTAGATAGTTAGTCTGTGCGGCTTCTAGCAACTTAGACAAATAAACACCAGCGATTCAAGCTGTAACTTACTTGTTGTTACACGAATTATGAATTTGGGATACACTGGTTCATCGGATTAGAGTAATGACAATTGCTTATAGTTGGTTTGTGTGTAGATATAGTAGGTCTGTGCGGCCTCTAGTGATAATAGAAAATTATTATGATTATTACGTAAGAATTATTATAAAAGCTATGTTTATATAGTGACAAGGAGAGTAACTTACAATTACATATTGAGGCACTTTCCTTGTACCTATCGAGAATGACTCGGACCGCAAAAATTTTCTAAATCGAAATTATTTTCAAAGTTTTTCTGGAAACTACTTTTGTTCATGTTTCATGCTAAACTGATCATTTTGAGCCGAAAATACTTTTTCGGTCCGTCCCTTCATTCGGAAGGCTGTGGATGTGATTAGTTCCATATAATTATAAAGAACGTCATACTGATATTTGGCCCTCGGATTTAAAGGAGAATGCGCACATTTTATCCTCAGACTCAGAGTCCGAGAACTGGAATTATCGCGATTTGTCGCGAGGATATGAGAAAATCGCGGCAAACGTCAAAAATCGCGATTTGTATCGGCAAACGTCCAAAATCGCTATTTGTCGCGGAGAGTGGGAAAAATCGCGATTCTGCAGGTGCCGCAATTTCCTTTTGACCTTGGCCCTACCGGGCACAAAAATTGAAGTGTAACTCTTATCCTGTCTGTGGGCTATATCGCCACTGGTCAAATTTCATGCGGGCTATATCAGCGGGCTGTATAACAGCGGGCTGAGAAATAGCAGGCCTTTTAAGTTTAACTAATCATCCTCCAGCAGCCTCCGATGCGTGTACAGACAAATGTTAGCTCCCCTAACTCTTGGTTAATTATCAATAATACTTATTTAGTATCTTACTTTATATTTAACTTATATCCGAATCTTTTGGTTTTACTTTTGATGCTTTTCATACAAACAAGTTAAAACAAATTCTTTATGTCGTGCATCCTGGGTTTGGACAGGATATGCCCGCTTAAAATGCTTCCATCGCGTTACATTACATAATTCTCAATAAATTTATTTAATTGTAGTTGTGAAAATAGTTTAAATGGTATGTTTTAAATTAAAATAATTAATTAATTAATTAATTAAATACCATTCTCTTGGCAGGTACCTGTACGTACGACAAAAGTCAGCTCTCGGACACAAGTGGATCTTAATGTACTGTGTAATAGAGCGGGATTGGTTAAAGTGTCTGGTGTCTGACAATGAGTTACTAGAGTTGGAGCACCTTCCAACTACTACTGTCAAACCTGTCGGATTAGAGGTGAGGAGTTAACAGATAATTATTATTAATTAAGCGTTAGGTCTGAATGACGAAGTGACTATCTGTGTGTTTTCTTGATGTCTTAATTATTTAATGATGATGTCTTGATTAACAATATAACCGTACTCGCACGCCAGTATATCAGTTATAAATCTTTAAAAAGAAAAGTTTTTGCTATGTGTTTAGATACTTAACCAAACAATACAAGCGCAAAAGTAACAAAATTAAGTCGCGCACGCAATAATGTGTGAAATGTGCAAGTTGTCAGCTACAAAATATAGTACACTGTACATTAGGTATAATAACCGGAAGTCAACTGCTTGAATTTGATAATGATTGGTAGCTTAAACCTTGGTACCACAATGAGATGCCATACATTCCTAACCCATCAATAGCGTTCTAGAACAGCTGATACAAAATACAAATACATGCCGTACGAACGTTTCTGTCTCAGACAGATCCTACAAAGCGGGTTCCGTCTAACAAACAGCTCATAGTGCGTATATAATCTCACTCTTTCTTTACTCTCTTTGAGTAAACTCAAAATAAAATAGATATTATCATGACACGCACTGACCCACACAGCAGGTGCAAATCTATTAAATTCAGAAAATTGACAACAGCTACAGGTTTAGAGTTCTATCTGATACCGGGCTATTCCTAGTCTCTATACCGGACTAATCTATGAAGGATTAATCGTGTATGTAAAATACATTCAATCAGACGGATTAAGGCAATGTAAATATGGAATAAGATCTGGTGTTAGATCGTGACAAACTTGGATAAATAATGAAAGGGTACATCAATAAGGAGCCCCAAGGACCTCTCGCAATATGATAACAATGGTCACAACTTTACACAACTTGATACATTGCAATGTGGTTACAGATAAACAGTCAATTGATTTATTTTATCTGAGGCCGGATATCGAACGCAATTATAATAATGAGTAATTATAGTTCCCTCATTATGTAAAAGCTTCTGTGAGGTATCATACAACAATCGAAACTTCGAGAAATTCTCACATTAACAATAGCTGTGTAGTCAGCAAGACTCTGTCAGTGAAATAATATCGGTAAAATCTTTAGTGAAATCTTGCTCAATTTTCTAAAGTTTGACAGTGACTATTTTGACGTGTACAAAACATATTTAGCTCTAAAAAGTATTGAAAAAAAGCCATTATCGTGCTGCAGAATAAGTGAAACCTGAAAAATATAATCTGGCTGTAATACAAGAACAAAGTCTCATCTAGTATAGATCACACACAGAGCCTCCACGAAAACAACCACACACAAGTCTCAAAGTTACAAGGCAACAGAAACACTATACCTTCCTACGAAAACAACCACACACAAGTCTCAAAGTTACGAGGCAACAGAAACACTATACCTTCCTACGAGAACAACCACACACAAGTCTCAAAGTTACAAGGCAACAGAAACACTATACCTTCCACGAAAACAACCACACACAAGTCTCAAAGTTACGAGGCAACAGAAACACTATACCTTCCACGAAAACAACCACACACAAGTCTCAAAGTTACGAGGCAACAGAAACACTATACCTTCCACGAAAACAACCACACACAAGTCTCAAAGTTACAAGGCAACAGAAACACTATACCTTCCACGAAAACAACCACACACAAGTCTCAAAGTTACGAGGCAACAGAAACACTATACCTTCCACGAAAACAACCACACACAAGTCTCAAAGTTACAAGGCAACAGAAACACTATACCTTCCACGAGAACAACCACACACAAGTCTCAAAGTTACAAGGCAACAGAAACACTATACCTTCCTACGAGAATTCGAACTTAATTTTATTGCCCCACCTGGCTCATCAATCCGCCTCCTGTGAGTCGACTGGTCGTCAATAGTCATGTGATCTTCACGCGATATTCACGTGTTCTAGTAGCACCAATAGTACCAGAGTCGTCAGATGCCTGATGTATTGTGGCATCAATAGTTACATGTATGGTGGCCCCTTGAAATGCGTCATTGCGTCAGACCACAAATTGTCGTTATGTCCCTGGCAACGACTCTCATTTCATTTATAAGGAGAAAGATACCAAAACTAATTTAAGGATTTATTCCTGACCTTATAATTCGAAAGTTTCGTTTTTCTGTTCGTATGAGGTGTGTCAACTGTAACCATGATAACTGCAGCCATGGAAACCGTAACGTGCGACAACCGAGGAACTGAGAGTAACTAGAGGTAACACTAAATTGTTACCAGCAAGATAGAAGTAGTGGTTAAAGAGTGAGGCACGTTATGATACACTCTATACAGAACAGTACATGTTAGGAAATGTCAGGACCCAGTCACAGAGTGTGGAGAGGAGCATTATTCTTCTTCAGCGGAATCTGTTGCATATTCAATATGGCACATTGTTATCGGACTACCACTAAATCTCCAGCCGTGTATGAAAACCGTTTAATTAAGTAAGCTTACCAAGGTTAACCCAATTATGAAGATAACATTGCGTGTATAACAACTCAGTTACAATTCAACTGGCGAAACTTGAGGTTCTACTGGAGGGCTTTACACCCCAAGCAGCGTCAAGGTTATATTATATTATTATATAATATATATTAAGCGGTTCTGACTATATTAGCGAGTAATGCGGAGCAAATAATATATCATGACATGATATATTGTACTGTTTGATAATACTGCTATCTGAGAATCTAATTTTTGTCTCTAAATGTTCAAGGATATATTTTATTCCGAGATCTGTGTGTCTGCTACCGCACGTGCAAGTTGTGTGAGCTGATATCCTAAATTAGTTCATAATCACACGAACTTGCACGTGTTAATACTATTGCTGTATAATTGTGGTGACATTATAATCTGTTTCGCTGTCTTCAGTACCTCCTCCCATTTGACAGCTAATACAAGAACAATTTTAGACATTGGGTATGAGCTGCATAAAGATGGAAATTGTAAGCATTTTTCAAAGGTTTATCGTAAAATCAATTTTTCCATCTACCACCTCAAGAACTCAAAAGTATGGAGGTATAAACTGTATCAGTATCACGAAGTAGCAAAATTAAAAATGAAAAGAAAACATAAGCAAGTCTATAGTTTGGATGGTACAAGCTTACAAGGGAACACTCATATAACGGATAAGCATATTTGGTTCGAGACAACGAATGACCTCTTGTTACATAGAAGCATATAATATATAAATTGCAAATGGGCTTGATCCAGACAATCAAGTAAAGATCGTCAGCTCAAGAAGGCTGTTTTTTATTTGTCTCCCTTATGTTGAACACTTAGATTACTGTATATTCGCCTGTGTCTCTGTCCCAACATTTGTGAATTCAGTGACAAATAGGAGGTCGCTTAGTCATAGCATGGCTATGCACACGTGCACGTGCAAAGATAATTGGACATAATGATCTGCTTTTCTAGAATTACGTCGAGTTTACTGCGTTTTATAGCCTAATCGACTATATCTTCGTAAAAAACTGAATAATATAGAAGAATGCGGTAATTTCCTTCCTTGCGACTACAGCGATGTAGTACTATTAAAAAGTCAAGTTATTCGAGCCGAATCATGATTTTATAAATAACTAGAAAGCCCGTGGTCACAGGGAGGAAGCTAATAGTATTCTTTGGTAGTCATTTTTTCTCGCATCAAAAAATATCTGTCACAACCGAAGATACAACCGATTAAAATGTAGCTCGCACTAAAAACAATGATCAAAATATCGCTCGCAAACCTTTGCACGTGCATGTGCGCGTTAAACACCGTTACCATGGTTACTATGCAACTTCTTATTTTTCACCTAATTTGCACGTGGGCGGTCGTACAGACGACAAACGACAAACAAACATAATCTTTCGAATTATAAGTAAGCTATGTGGAAGTAATTAATACACTACAAAACGTAACTTTTCACAAAATATGTAGTCAGTGAAAATGAAAAAAATACTCTTATATTTAAGTACAATGAACAATAAAATGTTTACAATAGCTTTAGCATATTATACCAAAAGAGGCTTCTGCTGCTATTTTCCTGCTTAAAAAGAAAGTATTTCATTGAGATAGCATGACGTTTAACTCCATAAATTGCATTAAATATGGCCATAGCGATTATTTTGCAACCATCCGGCAGTAACTATGTCTCTAGAATGTCTTAATTTGCGAAATTCCCCTAGGCCCTATTTTGACATAACAAACTGAACTTATTAATGAATAACTTGTTGTTAATATATAATAATGCAGAGTCAACTTAGTTTAAGCCCAACCCGAAGTTTCTTTTACCTCTAGAAGTAGAGATGCAGTTGTACCTTTTGCTATTATGCTAATTGCTAATAATAAAGGTAACTTCTGGCCCTTTTCTTTTCGATAGTTTTACCCATTACCAAGGTCTGTGCACAATATTTATCAAATAAAGACGCCATAGTGTACATAACTGAACTGATAAGCACTTCTAAATCTGGCTACATAACTCCGCTATAAATTATCGCTTTCGCAGAAAAAATAATCAATTGTGACTAGATTGGCAGAATTATTGTGGAAAATATATAAAGACCATTCTACTCGAGAGGAAACCAAATGAGTGATGCAAGATTGTTGACACTGCAGTTCGCAAAAGTAAACATTGGAAAGTGCACTTAATGTAAACAGAACATGGCCGATGAATCCGCCAAATATTACACCGTTTCCGAAAACAAGAGATCTGAAATCTGAATGCTACGTTAAGCTGTTAAGGACTTAAACGTGACAGTGAATTACCAATCAATTTCCAGCAAAACCTAGAATCATTGTCACGTGTCCAAAAAGTATGATTCACCTTCGGTGTTGGGACCGATTCTGTTCATTCTCTACATCGATGACCAATTGGACGCACTGCTTACCTCTCTTGGAAAGATATTTGCTGATGACACCAAACTCATCAGCAAGATATTGGACCTGGCCACCAAAGCATCGCTACAAGAAGACCTTTTCAATGTCATTGCCTGGGCTCGAAGAAACAATATGTAGCTCAATGAAGCTAAATTTGGGCTACCGGACAACTGAACCCAATTTGGACTTTTTCTAGACAGGGTAGCTTGGGAAAATAATCTTAAACCCAATCAGTCTACCTAATTAACTTTGAAACGACAACTGAACCCAATTGTCAGTTAGAAATAACTAACAGATAAACAGCAAAGAAAGTATGGTGCACACTACCTTAACCGTCACTGGCCAACTAAATCCTTCGGCTTCCTGTAATTGGCCATGGTTACACGTGTGTAACAATGTGGCTGTTGGAATACTCCGAAGTAAAATAAGTGTGTAGATTTTTAAAAAAGATGACAAGATCTCTGGTGCCTTTCGATCGTGAGATCTGATCTAACAAGCTTACATGTTCACGAAGCGTGCCAAAAATGATACGATCCACTGCTCCTCAAGCATCGAGATCCGACCCAAGACTCGAGATCTGAACCATGGCAGGCCCTCCCAAAGCATTAGTTCACTAATGGTATTGGGACAGCTGCAATGACACGGTTTACTTGTCTTTTTGAGTAGTGAGCTACTAGTTCACTAATGATATTTTGACAGTTTGGTAATATTGACCCCATGCAAAGACCTGCAACATATTCGCCCCATTCACCCAGCCTCATAACATGCCCAAGTCAACTGGGGATCTTACCCTTTTTTAGTGAGTGGGCTTACCTCAACTAATGGTATTGTAGTAGCGAATATTCTGTTGAAAAGTGATCTGTATGCAGGATTAGAGAAGCAATGGTCATAGTATGCCCTTGTGGTCTTGGTGGCTAAACAGTTGTTGTTAGTTTATAGCTTTCGGCTGGCGGCAGGAACCATTTTATTAAAAATTAAAAAACAAAATCCAGCAAATATTCAGGCCAAACATCGAGATCTGAGCCAAGTAATCGAGCAAAGTAACTTGAACCACTTTATTGGCTAGTGCCCGAAGTGGTCTTACCAACGAGGATGATACTTCGACTTCTTCTACCTTAGGGGTCCTCAACTATACGCTCAATAATTCGCTTCTGCTGCGAAATCTGCCATTTACAAATGATCTGCTCAGTTACAGTCTTACAACACGTCAAATAATTGAGCCAGCAGAAACTGTCAGGGGCTTGGGGTGATTTTATCAAACGACTGCTCTTAGACTCCCCACATCCAGAAAATGATCCAATCAGCAAACACTGTGTCATCCTGGGTTCTAAGCGTCTTCAAGGACAGATCACCATTTTTAATGCTTACCCTCTTCAAAACCATGGTGCGGAGTAAGCTAGAATATTGCTGCCCTGTCTGGAATCCAGCCAAGACCATGGACATAGAGGCTATAGAAAACGTTCAACGAAAATATACCCGACGCATTAACGGATGCAGTGGTTTAGACTACTGGGAACGTCTCACGAAACTCAATATCATATCATTGCAGAGACGTCGAGAAACGTACATCTTGATCCATACATGGAAAATTCTCAAATGCCTTGCCCCAAATGATATTGGCATGCTGTTCAAAAACAACCCCCGACATGGAATAAAAGCCACTGTACCGGCACTGAACAACAAATCACAGCGCTCTGTGGCAACTCACCATGAAAACTCATTTGGAGTGAAAGCGGCACAGCTGTGGAATCTTCTTCTCAAAGAAATAAATTCCATCTCTACTTTGGACCTGTTAAAATCGTCACTGGCTAAATTCCTTAAAGAATTCCCTGACATGCCTCCGACTAAAGGATACACCGCTACTAACAACAACTCACTCTTGGAATGGTACTTACAAAAAGACTCCAGTGGAGTGATAGGAGGACGTACATGATACTGTAGTCCTGAAGCGGTACCTGCCAATCCTAAAGTACTCAAAGTAAGTGTCCCCCAACCCTGGTGGATTTCAGACTGAAACTCCCACAAAAATACGAAACTTTATTTTGAGTAACCAACAATCAACATACTAGGGCCCGTTATGCCAGAATATCGAAAAATATAGTATGGGAACATAATAATATAATATTCCGTTACCAGGGGTGTGTTTTTTGCGCTTTCTAGACAAAGCCCAAAGGTAGTGTGTAAATTGGCTAATGTGTGACCGGTCCTTATATCTTACTATATAAAGAGAGACGATATTATATATTATATAGGAATTATATATAATATATCTTTTGCCATTTTACTGACACCACGGCATCAACCCGACTTTCCGTGAGAGATATAAATTTATTTAACTTTTTTGGTTGGGTCAAATTTTTTTATGGCCTTTTTATCAGAATGAAGAAATAAAAATTGGTCAAGGAATATTAGAACTTTAGGTCGCAAAATGGGATTAAAATCGCGAAATAAATATATATTGTTGTCTCTTGACAACATTTAAGGTCAGACGGGTTCCCGCTTAAATAACATTTCAAGCAAAAGTATTGAAAAATGGCAAAACTGACCAATTTATGGGTGAGCGATCGAATTTAGCGGGTATGCCCGAGTATCAACATGATATTTTTGACTCATAATTCATTTTTCTTCCAATTTGGACAAACACGTATGTATAATATATATTATATAAAGGGATTGCAAGTCATGTTTCAGTCTAAACGATTAGGCGTTATAAGGCCACAAATGGCAGTTACCTATACTGTATACCCCGGTTTAAGGGGGCCTAGCCAAAATTATCGCCGGTAAAAGGTCAGCGCTTGTGTGTAATTGTATTGCGCAAGCGATTTTTGATCGCGTGCCCTGAAAATCGTCTCCAATCTCTAAAATATGAACCTTCCCCAGGTGGAGAGGAACTCGTGTTTTTATCTGGTATCTCCGAAAGGGAAGCGGTGCTATCAGGCGCTCACTGAGCTGGACCGGCGCAAGTGGATGCAGAGTCTGACGCAGAGTAGTATCAATGTGCTGCAGCACGCTAGCAGTATTTCCCAAGGTACTTGTTACACTTATTTATTTAGAGTAATATCAATGTGCTGCAGCACGCTAGCAGTATTTCCCAAGGTACTTGTTACACTTATTTATTTAGAGTAGTATCAATGTGCTGCAGCACGCTAGCAGTATTTCCCAAGGTACTTGTTACACTTATTTATTTAGAGTACAGTATCAATGCACTGCAGCGCGCTAGCAGTATTTCTCAAGGTACTGGGCAGATTTATAAACATACATAAAACCCAAACATATTATAATATTGATAAATTTACTGATAAACCAAAATATTTGAAATATCAACTTTCTCAAAATTGGGAGTATTCTTACAAATTTAGGATTTTGATATTATTCTAACCACTGATCAAGTTGAGGTACAATGCACCTCACCTACGTATTCCCTAACAGGTGACCATGTAGCGCGGATGCACTCCATACCCGGAAACAGCAGGTGTGCAGACTGCGCAGCGCCCGATCCTGAGTGGGCATGTATCGACCATGGCACTACCATATGTATAGACTGTTCTGGGGTTCACAGGTCCATGGGAGTAAATGTTAGTAAAGTACGGAGCTTACTGCTGGACAACTGGACTGAAGATATTATCTCCGTGAGTTTTATCTTTGCCGAGATGAAAGTAAATTATAAATTAATTTAAGTTAAAACTCTTTGAAGACGCGGAGTTAAGAATAAAATATAATAAAATGGCTTCGTGTTTTGCGAAAATAAGAGATACCGCAATATAAGTATAGCAATGATTTCGTTAATTCGAAGTATTGCCCACGAATGATAGAGATCGGACAACTAACGATGTTTACTGCTTTTAGTGTCGGACGAACAAAATTCTTGACGAAACAATTTGACCAAATATGTTGCAGCTTTGGCTTCATTATATTCACTATTCTATGCTACAATTTGCAGTAGAAAATGGCAACGCCAAAGTTATTGTTATGTTATGAATAGGGGTCGTTCACATATTATGTAATCAGCCGAGGGCCCGAGGGGGATGGGGGGTTTCCAAATGATTACACTAATTTATAATTTGACAAAATAGCTATGTGTAAAACTAACTACTGAGGTGGGAGGGTGGGTTAAAAATTGTCCAAAAATTGATCACGTAATATCTGAACGACCCCAAAGTTTTTTGACGCCAGATGAATATGGTGACCCGAAGGGAGTCAGAAATAGTTATTATATTGTACAGATATAAAGCTTTAGCGGTGTAAGAGTCGTTTATAAAGTTAATTATCAATACAATAAGGAGTTGCTTTGAAAAAGTTTATACTAGAAAAGGATAAGCTTGAAAGGAAAAGCTTGAAAGGAAAAGCTTGAAAGGGCAGGTGGACGTATTATAATTAGAATCACAATTTACAATTTACATCAGAATATTGTGGTCCACAATGAGATGATACATCTTCAGATATAATTAATTAAAATATAGTACACTAGTAGGAACATTCTACGTCCCACTATTTTGATCTGATATTATATAGTTGAGTAGGCTGAGAAATACCCTGAGTGGTGAAGCGAGTGAGGGGATGATATAAAATTAATCGCAAAAATTTGCCCTAATTTAAGGATTCAAGAAATTCCAGAACATCCTCCTGTATTCATAGAACATTTATAGATGAGTTCCACATGGGACCCACTCTGTGCCAAGGCACTATACTAGTGTTCTAGCTGTAGGGGTGTTAGTCCTACGAGCCAGAGAGTGTGTATCACCAGCTGAAGCTGTACCAAATCACAGCTTGGTAACTGGTCGACTTGCATCTGACCGTGACCTATGTTGAGTTTCGTCAAGACTTGACGAAACTCTTCTGATTACCCCATAGCGAAGTAAACATTCAGACCGTGTGTATCAACAAAATGTTCCACAAAGCACGAATTAAATGAGAAAGGCAGGCGGAACAATACATAACTAGCTAAAACAAACAAAACAACAATTAACAAAGACAGGAGGACGCAGACCACAGAGTGTTCCCAGAAAAAAAAACTGTCAGAAGGGACAGAAATAAGTTGGGATGACGCTTGTGTATTGTGTACGATACTTTGTGTATTGTGTACGATACCTTGACCGTAGCACCATTCATTAGCAGGAAGGCTACTTTCAAACTTATCTTAAAATCTTACTAAAAACATGTTTGCGGGCTGCACTGGAAACAAAAACCGTGAATCTATAAAAGTAGAAACTAGATATGAACTACGGAGAAATTGCGAAAGCTAAAAAGTTGAAGCTGACTTATAGAAAGCAGATGCATCTAACCTTGCAACAACCATGCTACCTCCGACCAGTTTCTGTCACTCAGACCGTTGCACGCTATAATCTGTATTTATCATGGATTGTTCGAGTTTTTGGATGTCACCCAGAACACTGCAATGGAATCAGGAAATGGATCACTCACCCTAATTCTAAGTGTGACCCTGCCCCTGCCCCTAAAAAACTGTTCATACTAAGCTGCCTACTGCCTAGCTGGGTTGAAACGTTTAGACCTCATAGGCCCAGTCACAGACCATTAAGTACCCCTCGTGACTGCCCAGTAACAGACCATTGAGTACCCCACGTGACTGCTTCTTTCTGCTCTTGCACATCATTATTGGAGGATAGAATTAACGAGGTAGTACAGACAGTGGCTGAGCCATATAATATATGACTATATTATAATTCGGAAATATTTGTTTTTGGCGTGTATGCGTGCCCACGTGCAAATTGGGTCAAAATTAAAAATTTGGGAGGGGTTCCTAAACGATTACTCAAGTATAATTCTACCACAATAACTATGTGTAAGACTGATCACGGAGGGGGAGGGGGTTAAAATTGCCCAAAAGGTGATTACGTAATATGTGTGAACGACCCCTACGGCTAGTGATAACTGATAATTCAAGCCAAATCTACCGGGAAAAATTGTAATCGCTCAAAAGTTCCGGGAATCAGGGTTGGATTGAAATAACGTGGTACAGCATCAATTAAACAACAAACCTATTCTTTTTCTTTGTAGTATGAACAATGTTTAATTTCAGCAAATGGTGGAGAAAGGAAACACTAAATTTAACGAAGTCTACGAGTGCAACGTGTCTGAAAAAATAGTTCCAGATTCAACCAGGTTAGCTTATATTTGTCAGTTTTATATTTGTCAGTTTTCGTGGGTCGATCATTATTTGTATACGGAGGACGAAATGAGTCGAGTTAGAGGGAAGAGAAACCCTTGAAGCGAAGTTTTAGTTGCGGTGGTTACAGACACAAAGATAAGTTGGAGGCATCTTACAGAAATTTCAAAAACATCTAAATTGCATCATGTGACCAGTATAATTGCTGTTTTTTAACATATTTTGATCCCAGACTCTCACAAAGTATAAGAACTGACCTTAACCTAAATTCCATATCTGCAACTGAACCTTATAAGGCTAGAGCACTTATCACGTAAACACGATTAAAATTGCTTTTGGGGATATAAACAAAGTATAGTGATACAAGGGTTGCCTTCAGACCCTCGCAGAACATAACGACTGGATTGCTGACGGGATATTTTATGTGGCGCCTAAGATATTTCCCCAGAGCTACCCTATCCATTCGGTGATAGACAACAAATGAACAAATGTCTACCATTAATATATATATTTTGACTTGTGAATAGAAGGTTACTTACTTCAGATGTGGTTCTTAGGTGTGGATAGGCTAATTAATTGGTTCCCTAATGTCAGCTTCTCTACTTTCCCACGGAGACGTATATGGTGGTCCGATCACCTGGTTATCCAAAGTCGGACAACCATTATAAAATTTAAACACGATTTTTGTTGAGCTTCTGTCCGAGACCATGATGATAAATCTAAGGCGCCAATATTAGTTTGAAAATGTATCAATAGAATTATCTGACAGTATCCTCTGCTTAGCGTTGCAGATTTTAGGATTTGCAGTCCGTTGCTGCATATCGTACTTTTGCCTGGCAGAAACACGTGCGCAGCGCAAATAGAACCTCGCCAGAGAATGAACCATGGCGCAAAGCTGCGCATTGTTTTATTACTGTTTACGTAAGGCGCGATAATATATTTGTACAGTTTCAAGACATTGGTCACGCGGCGCGCGTATTCACGGTGGAAAATATTGACCATTTCGCAGATTTTAATCTTGCAACGATTATCGCGCGTTTATCGCATGCGAGACGATTATCGTTTGTGGTGCACGATTATCGCGGTACTTGACGATAAACGCGTGATTATCGCAGGATCGTCTTGTTATCGCACGATAATTGTGATGTCGTACTGTTATCGCACGATAATTGTTATGTCGCACTGATATCGCACGATAATTGTGATTTCGTACTGTGATTGCACGATAATCGAGAAATTATCAAAAATAGCTTTTACTAAGTTACTACAGTTGACTTGATAATGTACATGGTATGAATTCTGATCTATTTGAATTAGAAAGATGGTGCATTTGGGTATTCATACTTTGTGATAACAGGAATATAATGATCGCTGTAATGTAGATACAATAATTGGCACACCGCACCTAGCTACGCTACCGGCCTAACGTTTACTGATACCAGGTCTTAAATACCTATTAAAATTCTTTTTCTTCTATGGTGATATTTCATATGATGCATGTACCGTAAGCCTCATATATATTACGATTAACAGTGACACTCTAATTGGTGCGATAATCGGCAGTATAACAGTAAACGCGCGTTTATCAATTTATCGTCGATTATTATTTTATGCACGAATAGAATCTACAAATTTTCCACCGTGTATTATATACCGGCCTTAGCTTAAGAACGAACGACAAATTTAGTCTACCATAAATTTAGTCAAACTTTTGACTAAAATTGTTGTAATAATTGTAATTATAAACCGAATTTAATAATGAGGTCTGATCGTTATCTTCTTACAGCGTTCCTTACCTTAGTATTGCTGTTCCACTACTAAATAAACCAAATTTCATGTGACTAAATTTTTCGGCTACTGTTTGTCCATGTTTGTCCACGTGACCGTTTGGTGTGCACGTGGGCCCATGGAAAATTTCTGATACATGTGTTCCGTTGTCTATACTTAGTTCACTATAAAGTATGACTTTATATGCGAAATTGAAGGGAAAAAACTAGCTCAATAATGGAAAAAATCAAATAAATGGAAAATCAAATAAATGGAATGGAAAATGGTCTCGATAAGTCAATTGTCAAACAAAAATTGCGCCCGTTGTTTCGTATTGGCTAAAGTAAAAAATTCGACTAAAATTGTTGTAGACTAAAAATTTGCGAAATTTGTGCCCAAAATTATGGTAACCAAAGAAAGAGAGTGCAGCGGAGATTACCTCAAGAAAGAGAAGAGGGAATAAGCACATTTATGTCATGAAAAGAAGACGAAGGAAGATGAATGCTAGGATACGTGCATTACAGGAAATGAATCCTAGCTCGAGTTTAATCCCTAAACTGAAAACGGAGGTTTCACTGCTGTGTTACTCCATACAGGAAGGGACCCTTGAGAAACTGAACAAAAAAGAACTTTGGGCAGTCGATGCAATAAAGAAGAACCCCAAATACTTCTTTTCGTATGCCAAGCGTCTCCAGAAGACCAGATCTACGATCCCGGTGTTGAGAGATGAGACCGGGGCATTAGTGGACGACCCCAGTATCAAGGCAGAGTTACTTCAGAAGCAGTACCAGAAGGTATTTAGTAACCCTATGAGTGCCGATATTGATGAATGTATGAAGAGCCAAGGATTACCTCAGGGACTGGATTCCGGATTCAACGAGCTAAGCTTCACAAGAAAAGATATCATTGAAGCATTAGGAGAACTGGATCCCTATTCGGCCGCACCTGACGGAGAGATTCCTGCTAGGATACTCACAGCCTGCAAAGAACAACTTGCAGACCCGCTAACACTCCTCTGGCAGGAATCGTTCAGCAGTGGGTGAATTCGTTCGCAGCTCTACAAACCAAAATCATACTTTCGCACCGTTTTCACTACGAAAATGTATTGTGTTTTTAGAATATAATAGACTTTTGCATTTCAACTGCGATAGTGAAGTCCCGGCGGTATGCACGGGTTACATTAGCATTAGTATATATTATAATATATATATTATATTTATAATATATGAGAAGGCCCGTGGTCACATAACAGGGAGGGAGCTAATAGTAATCTAATTTTTGAATATTTAATAGTCACTGACTATTATAGTCAGTTTTTATCGCATCAAAGAATAGTAGAGCAAGAAATGTGAGCCTTAGACGCAGCATCGTCAATGTGATTAAAAGATTTTGAGCTACAAGAACTAACTGAAAGTTGTGACCAACTCTGTGTATAAGACCAGTATGATTTGTTGGGTATAGGACACAAAAACCGGGTGGAAACAAAAACCGTCCTGCGATATTCTGAAGATCAAGTTTGTCACATGAACATATATGCAGTGTTCAATTGGTCTTTAACACGTTACCAAATCTGCTGCTGAGTTGGCTGAGGCCTGAGATATTTAATGAAAATCTCTCAGCGGGTCTCTTCGTTACGCCACTGTGACCACTATACTCACATCACACATTTGAGTGATTTTTATCATGGCTAAAGTTACAAAGAAACATCTGGGCGGTCGTGCAAAAACAATTCTTTGAATTATAATATAGATACGTCGCGTACAGATACAATCTATAAATCTCTATATCAGGATGTATAATATTGTCTGATCGGGCGTGCAGTTTCATGTTCTGTTGCTCTTTCGTAAGATAAGAATATGGGCTGGCATTTTGCCGATCAATCAGTAAATTTGCTAGAAGACGGTCAATCGACATTCAAGTCTCGAACCATTCGCTATTAGGGGTCGTTCACATATTACGTAATCAATATTTTAGCAATTTTTTTTTGACTTTTTGCCTAGAAAACACTTTTCTCTACGTTTCATGCTACCCTGATCATGACATGATGAGCCGAAATCAATGTTTTTCAATTTCTAAATTTTATCACTATCAGAGTGAAATTGAGTGGAATTTGAATTAAAATATTGTCAAATTTTTATTATTCTAAAAGTAATTTTGATTACGTAATCCCCCCCCCCCCCCCCCCCCCCCCCGTAATCAACCGTAAGAATTTGGAACCCCCCCCCCCCCCCCCTCGGTTGATTACGTTATATGTGAACGACCCCTTACCTAAAATTTATACGGTTAATAATGCTAGGTCTCTAAAACCATGTATATTTTACTACAAAACAGTAAATTTAGTCATTTCAGAGAGGAACGGAGCGTGTTTATGAGGAAGAAATACATTTTAAAAGCTTATTACAGAGATAACCCTTCTGAAGACACATAAAGGTACAAGACACTCTATCGTAGTATGAAAGTATTCAATGTGATGAAAGGCTCGGTTCGATTAATGATTAAGGAAGATGATAATTTTATTTTGTTTTATTTTTAGTGTATTTGTGTTGATAAATAATAAGGATGTATCCTATGTTGATAGTGCTTAATGTTTTGTGAAAACTTTGAAAGTTATTTGGTATACAATAAATACTTTATTCCTTTATAGGGAGATTCTGTATAGATGCCAGCAAATCTCAAATAATTGGATATATTTGCAATGTTTAAATGTGATTGATGAAAGGTAAACTTTAAATGAAGGGTTTGCAGCTTACACCAAATCTGTCCAGCCCAAATGACTACACAGGAATTATACACAAGATGGCCACTGAACTTCCTGTGAAGCCATTTGTGCTTGACGAAACTAAACCCTGTTTTTGTGTCTGGGTCCTTCATTGAATTTCAGTTAAAAAGCATGGATCTATAGTTTATAATTTCATTGTTGTATGTATTGTGTTAGATGGACTAATTTAATTATACATTATCTACTCGTTTTCCGTTCTACTCCAAAGGACCACTCCTATTGAAACTAGTTGTCGATGATATTGCCTTTACCTGGAACCCCTGAGTTAGTGTTTATATTTAAGATATGGCGGAGTGACAGACTGAGCGCCGTCCAGTAAATCTTGCCTATATATAAAACTACGAAATATATTCAGAGTTACTACGTGAGTACTTACTCGCTTAGCGGATGGTGTCTTTGGCGGAGGGGACAGATCACGCAAAACTGTCAATAGGATAATAAACCAAAGAACTATTATCAATCACTCAATCAGCGCCCTTTATATTAAAAGTAAAACCAAATAGTCGTGTTCACCAGGAATATGAAATAGACACTCCGAACTAATCAAACAATTTTTTTTCCGAAAAATGATTTCAACCCAGGAAATGCAAAATTTTAAAATTGGATCCTGCGATATTATTTTTCAGCTAGTTAATTAGTTAATTAGTTAATTAGCTTGACGAGACAAAACTTTTAGTACCATTCATAGTATGTAAAAACTCTCAGAATAAAGTACAATAAATAATTTTAACAAAATGTATACACATTTTGGTGGTCATCTTGAATCACGATGACCATGACTTGACTATAATAACCACAGGGCACACCTGGGCACAGCTCCCTACCTATTATATATTTACTCACGGCACACATTTGTGTGATTGTTATCATGGCTAAAGTTACAACATCTGATAAAGTGAACACACACAATACTATTACTAAAAACAACGTGCTTATGCTACCTAATAACTAACTGCAATTAGAATTTCAAAGTTGCACATTTTTTCGTCGCCTCGCGTAATCAAGCTGGTAACTTACTTTATAGAAATAGTTTACGTATCCTGGCATGACTGCATTCTTACTGATACTCCTTATACTATTATTTCGGTTTGCTAAATAACTAATAAGCCTAAGGATTCAATATGTGTTTTTGATGCGAAACCCCACACGATTGAACAAAAATTCAAATGCGATTGTATGAAACTATGAAACAACTGTAAGTGTAAAAGCAGTAATCACTTTCAGTGGTAAATGCCATTTTATTCTATACATAATATAAATACCCATGTCCCATGTACCTGCAACAGTGCAACCTGGACATTTTGACTTTTATAATACCTTCCGGGAATTATATCCACTAAAAGTCTCGGACACTGAGAGCTGATAATTTGCCGATATATCCCGCAAGGGAAGCCAAGGTATTATCAGCATAGACCTCAGACTGGCTGGCGGCAAGTTGTAAAACAAATAACACTGGCGTTCTATATATTAGACACTATATTGTATCATGCGCACGTATCGGATTACACCCCTTCCAATTCGGAACCGGAAAATATTATAATACATAATACCTCCGGTTCTTCGGGCCGCAAATTCCCTCCAGCAAGCTGTCGGGAATTATCAAGCGGAGCCCGAAGAGCCGAAGGCATTATTATATTATAATACCTTCCGGGAATTATATCCACTAAAAGTCTCCGACACTGAGAGCTGATAATTTGCCGATATATCCCGCAAGGGAAGCCAAGGTATTATCAGCATAGACCTCAGACTGGCTGGCGGCAAGTTGTAAAATATAATAATGCCTTCGGCTCTTCGGGTTCCGCTTGATAATTCCCGACAGCTTGCTGGAGGGAATTTGCGGCCCGAAGAACCGGAGGTATTATGTATTATAATATTTTCCGGTTCCGATTAGGAAGGGGTGTAATCCGATACGTGCGCATGATACAATATAGTGTCTAATATATAGAACGCCAGTGTTATTTGTTTTACAACTTGCCGCCAGCCAGTCTGAGGTCTATGCTGATAATACTTTCGCTTCCCTTGCGGGATATATCGGCAAATTATCAGCTCTCAGTGTCCGAGACTTTTAGTGGATATAATTCCCGGAAGGTATTATAAAATATCATGCCCGCGCGTTCCCTCCAGCAAGCTGTCGGGAATTATCGCGCTCAGCACTCAGTGGCGGAGATATTAATATTATAGTATTATAGCGGCAATGTGTTTCGATCACCAGTTCAGCTTTTCATTTTAGATTACCGGTACCCCAAGAAAGCGTGCCTCCGTCGACCGTTATGCGGCCTATTTTAGTTCCCGCAATGTTCATATTGCGACGTCCATTTTGGGGTAATTTATCCGTTGGTTACTGAACACCTGAAGTTGAACACCATGTAGTGAGTTTTCTTTAGGTTAATTAGTATAGGGGTACAGGCCATTGCTGTCAACCCATTTTATTTTTATAACTATAAGGAGGAATGTGATTTGTGGTACTGGTAGCTTGGATTGCACTTACCTGGGGACCTCAGGCTATCATGTTCATAAATAGAGATTCGGCGTAATGACAGGCTGAGCGCGGCCCAGTAACGATTTCACTTTTTCTTCCGTATTCCCTCTAAGTTAGAGAGTCTAACATGATAATATTTGCGTCGTCGGCATATAATATGAACTTATCTAAGTTGGATATATTAGGAAGATCATACTTGATGTATATGACAAATTAAATGCAGTATAACTATAAAGGGACCAAGAATCGAGCCCTTTAAGGAATCACCCCGTATTACTATTAAATCACCCTAGGGGCTAGGGCTCGAGCTGAGTCAGTTAATAACGAACTATTGGCGCGGTCGCTCAAATAAGATTCGAGCCATTTTTGTGCAAGGCGCCAAGGCCTCTTACTATAGGAGTTTACCTGAGGTTACTGGGCCGCGCTCAGCCTGTCATTCCGCCAAATCTTTATTGTTAATGAACATAATAGCCTGGGGTCCTCAGGTAAACCTGAGGACCCCAGGCTATTAATATTATATTTATGTTCAAATATGTTCATAATCAATAGAGATTTGGCGGAATGACAGGCTGAGCGCCGCCCAGTAAGTATAAGTATGAAGTAGGACTAGGAGTATGGATCAGTAGCACAGCGATTTGTTTACTGTGAAGTGATTGAAGTATGGTATTGGTATTTTAGGCGTTTAGTAGGACATGTTCACATGACATTCCGGGTCTAAAACCATATTGACTTTTAAAAATTAAGCCATTTGAGTCTAAGAAACCAAGGATCCTGGATCCTGGAATGCATAATTTTTTCGTAGATCTTGGAGAAGGAGCTCAGTATTGATATGGGCCTATAGTTCGTAACGTCAGTTTTCAGGCCTCCTTTGTGGACTGGTATTACACGGGCAGTCTTGAGAGAGCTTGGGAATACTCCGTGTTGGAAGGAGGAGTTTATTATCTCAGCGACCGCGCCAGTAAAGTTAAGTTTAACTATACTATATATTATTAAACAATATTGTGCCTTTTAAACATAAATGTTATACGAAATATTTGTTTAACAGGAGCTTTTAAATAACATGTGTAAATCTTCTTCAGTGCAGTGAGACTATCACCTGCTACACAGACGGGTCAGGTACTGACTCCGGAAGTGGGACTGGTTATCACCACTGACAACAACAAGACCACTCTAGACGAAAATTCTTCAAATATTCCAGCACATTGTACTGTTTATCAGACAGAACTCACCGCTATCTGAGAGACTTTAATACGAAAAGTGATACAGTATATTGCACTGATGGCGAAAGTTAGTTTCGTGTGGTTATCGGTTACAATTCATATCACTAAAAACATAAAAACATATCTTCTGCATCATCAAACACATTTTTGCCTAATAAACTATAAAAAGCACCGGAAATAAGTGTCAAATACTTGCAATCTGATTAAAAAGCAAACTTAAACCAACATTCGTGTGATATGAATTCAATGAAAAAGGTCACTGATACCTTAATACCCTCTGAAGATTTTATAAGTTTGTTTAAATATTGTCTTTACCGTGACAATTGCTTTAAGATTTAAATCTTGTAACGAAAATAATCAGAATACTGCTGATATTACGAATACAACGACTGTTTTTTGTTTAATTCAAAAACGAGAAGGTAAATTGTTTGTATTTTGTAATAAACCATTCGTATTTTTTTTAAATAAGGCCTGAAATAGTAAATAGAAATTCGTAAAAATATTGATTGTTGATTTAAAACTCGGTAAAGTCTGTCTTTACCTTTCAGCTCAATATCAAAACAGACTTCACAGATCGAAGTTTTATTATCTGGCAAAAAAATATCACTGCTAATATCTCTAATCTAATAATGTGTGTAACGTTAAATTATCCCACGATCTACCAAACTATTTTGCGGATTCCAGAGAAGACCCGATTTCTGCTTAGGGGTCGTTCACATATTACGTTATCGCTTTTTAGGAAATTGTTACCCCCCCCCCCCCTCCGTAATCAGTTTTACACACTAGCAATCATTTGGAACCCCCTCCCCCCTCCGCTGATTACGTAATATGTGAACGACCCCTTACCGAACTGCAAACTTGTTGAAAACAATTCCAAACTTGGCCCTCTTTATATAAACAGCGAGTAACAAACTAAAAACAGAACAGCAAGTTACTTAATTTACATGACTGTCACCATTTGTATGAGTTACTGTATCTGAGCACGTCAAAAGTCTTTTTAGGTTCTATAAAGTGTGAACCTCACAGCTCTTTCAAATATTGCCTAAAACTTCAAGTCAAAACTTAATCCTACATCACAAGGAAAATATAAGCAACACATTATCTAATATCTACACAACTGTCCTCTAATTTTACAAAGGTAACAAAATATCAAAGTTCTTTATAGTTTAAAGACTACATCCGCGAAATATATAATTGCATCTGAAAAATTAAAACCTAATAATCAACCGTCTGTAGCGATCTAAAACTTAAAGCTTGGAATATCAGCTCTGAGAAGTGGGTCCTGCCACTAACAATTACTTGAGGTCACATGATTCACTGCTTGTTGAACTCTTATAAGTTGAGATGCGAATAAAAACTATGCACGTGCAAACAAATTCCCGATGTGCGAGTCAACACGTTGCACGTGCAAACAAATCCATGTTAATCGTAGTAGTTCTCCCCCCGGTCCTCGTCGTAGTCCGAACACATGGTGTCCTCCATATGGACGTCCGTAATCAAGTTGTTGTCCTCCACTCCTCCGAATTTGTTGTAACCAAACATGTTCAGGACCTTGAGGAAATGAGATGTTAATGTTATGAACATATAATAATATATTCTTAGACCCTTCCAACCCCACCCACTTAACAATTAATCAAATAATCAACTTATAAAATCTCTGAGATTATTGAAGATCGCATCCTTATCTAGTCGTTCTGGACATTCGGCCTAATATATATATATATAAATATAAGTGCTTGTACGGTTAGCACATGTTTTAGATTTATAGGAGACTTGAAAGAATTAATAAATTTATCTTTTAGGTTGGTTGGATGATTTTAACGTATCTTATATCCTGGTTTACTTATACTCCCGTTTTATTGTACAGGGAGGGGGGGGGGGATCGATATGAAACACGGCGGTGGTATAAGACCCAACGTATGTAACGTTACTTCCCCCCCCCCCCCCCCCCCCTGTATAACTTATACTCCCGTTTAATTGTATAACTTAAACTCCCTCCTCCCTCCCAAATCGTTGTGCAATAACTCACCACGTGTCGTTTGTATACGAGCATGACCACACCCACCACAACAAATGCCAGGAGTACTGTACCAACAAACGTGTAGGCGACCGTCTTCCAAAGAGATGTCTTGCCGTCTCCCTCACCTGGTCATTATGTGGAGTTATTGTTCCTGAGTCAGTCGAAAACTATATCTAGATAAGTGTTCGAGAAAGTAATGCCGTAGTATATACATATTACATTACACTGGAGCTTACACAGTGTAATTTCAGTGTAATCTCCTCCAGTCTGCGCCGCGTACGTTTATATAGGCGCGCGGCACAGATTGGAGGAAATTACACTGTGTAAGCTCGATCCAGTGTAATGTAATATGTATGTACTACGGCTTAACAACGAACTGAAAGAAAAGAGGGTGGTTGGATGAGTTTAGTGTGGACGTTGTCTTCTAGAGATACAGGAATATAATGTAAAATTACATGCCCAGATATTGGTGTGACAAATGACTGCTGAAAACAGTAAAACTGCAAATAAACATGGTTGAAAACATGACATTGTCGGACAATCTTAAGTTCCGACCAGTTGTATGATACCTACATTCCACCGTTCAATTCAGCTCTATTATTAACCATGCAGAGTATACCTATGGACTGGACATGGTAATTGAAGAAACGCTGGTCAATTGTTATTCTAAACGGATGATGAATACGAAAATGTCGTCCGGTTAAGAAATTGCCGGATGAGCTTTGCAAGCATAACAGCAGTGAAGATAAAGCGAGAACAAAAACAAACTAGAGTTGTCAAACTAGAGTTGTCAAACTAGAGTTGTCAAACTAGAGTTGTCAAACTAGAGTTGTCAAACTAGAGTTGTCAAACTAGAGTTGTCAAACTAGAGTTGTCAAACTAGAGTTGTCAAACTAGAGTTGTCAAACTAGAGTTGTCAAACTAGAGTTGTCAAACTAGAGTTGTCAAACTAGAGTTGTCAAACTAGAGTTGTCAAACTAATTTAGCAACTAGTTTGGCAACTTAGCTAAGGGATTAGCTCATCAAAAGGTAAGTATCATGCGCTGGTGTATTTGCTTACCACTTTTACTTATAGCACTAGGCCCTTTCTCATTGTTACCATCGCCTGGACACAGGCAAAGGTTCATAATTTATGTGCTGGTTTATTACAGCGATTTCTGATATGTAAATGATATAATATATATTACATAGTTAATATGTGACTCGGAGTTTAAACTCCCAGAAGGTCCTAATAGTTAACAAGAATTATTGAAATCCTTTTTTGTATATTTGTACTTTATTTCTTATTTATCTATTTTAATTTATTCTGTTTATCCCTTTTAATTACAGTAAAATAAAAAAATACTTACCACCTATCGAGTAGTCGTATCCAGTAGTCATATTTATCTCTGAAACATCGTTTGGTGAACAAAATGTAAAGGAGACTTGTATCGTTAAAAAAGTGATAAAATCTTCAAACGGCGGGTCAAGTGTCAACCGAAGGAATAAAACAGTGTCTCTCACACTATTTAGTTAATTACTAAGTGATTACACTGATTAGTGAGTACTTACTGTTTTGGACCTGTACGCCAGGTTTGTGTACACAGTTCTTGTGCCACAGCTGCCATGATTGATCTACAACAGCGTACTCCATCAGTGCATCTGAAGCAATTTTACATTTAAACTAGTTTCTCTTGGGAAATTTCAAGGAAAGTTACTTTCACCGGAATTTAGAGGAAAGCTATTTCTTTGGTGATGCAATTAAAACAAATTGCTTGACTTGATTGTGTAACAACAACAAAAAATATGATGAAAAAGGTAGACCGATTTTGTGGGATGTCAACGAAAAAAGAGATAATGAATAAGATATGAACCGAAGCAGTTGAGAACGTCGTATTTGTTCATAAGCTCCACCTCCTTGACACACTCGTCACTGCATTGGTTCTGAACTTGTGGCATCTGAAAAGCGTTAACACGATCAATCTTAAGTTGCAATGCTATAAAAGAACAACAATTGGTATATTTAGGTTTCAAGGACATTTCCTATTTTAGAAGTGGACAACATAACAGTATAACAATTTTCAAAATCATGATTCAACTTACGAAGCCCTTGAAACAAGGATTGGAGTTAAGGTCAAGCCGTTCCTGTTCAGCCTCGTATACTATAACTCTTGGTCCACAGTGTTCCAGATCAGAGTTAGTTAAGCACATCATCTCAAATACCATTTTTGCTGTAAATTAACGGATTAAATTTTGGGTGCAAGAAAAATATAGAAATTTATTAAGGAACACTTTCTCTTCGAATTAAAATAGGAAAAACTATAAAGAGATGATTGATAAATTCTCTGGAGAAAAACTCACCCTCTTCAGGCAAAAACACCGTACAATTGTCCTTGATTCCAGCTAATTCAGGTCCACACTCGGTACAATGGTTATTAAGCTTTGACATCACTAACCTGAAAAGAAGAGGTTCACTTTTTAGGTCTAATATTTCATATAGCTACATAAGAATAACAAATAACAATAGTACAACATAAACACGTTCAACAACCTGCATCATGACTTACAAGCTGTATAATAACAAACCATATGATAAGTGAAAACTTACAGCAGATCCTCGTTGATTTTTATTTCTGCCGTTGAATTTCGGCACTGGTTGATATTCTTGAACTTCTTACAGGACTTGTTGATATTCTGCATGTCTAACAGATACGAGGTCTGAAAGTTTAAAGATTGGTTAATCTATACCAATAATCTCAAGATGTGTGTGTCAAGAAAACAGTATGCTGGCAGCTGGGGGCTGTTTTTTTCGGTATAGTGCCGACAAAACTCTGAAGACTGAAGAAGCCAAATCGTTAAGTTTTTTAAAATCGGCCGATGGGAAGTGGTATGTACACCTCCCCTAATTAAATTTTGGTAAATAATCAGATAATTTGGCAGTAGCGCCAGGAGCATCTATCGAAAGGGGCACTCAGAATTAAATTTACTCTTATGAGTTATAAATCAAGAGGCTTGCATATAAAGAACATATTGACATGGGTGCAGAGTTGAGTCTGTACGGAACCTAGTAGTTTCAGTTCCTTGTTTAACTTTATGCGGCCGGTTTCGGCGTTGTGCATGCATATTTTTGCACCGTTTTAACTTTTGCACCGTTTATACTTATGCATTTCAACTGCGATAATGAAATCCAAGCCGTAGGCACGGGTTACACTAGTTCTAATAATAAAACCACCGCCAACATCCAAATTTCCGATTAACGTTATTCGTATTTCGTGCCTCACGGCTCACCGTGAGGCACGAAATACGAATAACGTTAATCGGAAATTTGCCCTCACGATGGATATGACGACTCGTCACCAGCTGCATCGATCGACCACGCGCACGCGTCGATCGCGCGGACGCGCGCGCATATAATACGTATCACGTGATTGAATAGCGCGGATATGGTATTAATCTAGTCTTCGCGCGCCACTGTTTTGAAGCAATAATTTAATTAACTGTGTCATTAGTAGATCTTTTAGGACAAGAATTGTAAAGATGTCGCTCAAGTTCGGATGGAACATGGTGCAACTGTTAGATCCGTGCAGAAATTATCATCGCTAAATTATACTGTTCGGCGAAGACTACCGAAGAGAGGAACCCCTAAAAAGGGTACCATTTATACCATAGTTTGGTAGGTAACAGCTGTCTTCCAATTTTGAGATTTCAGCCCAACTGGGATCCGAACTCATAACAACATGGCCAGTAGACAATGGCAGCGACCAACTTAGTCCTGCTAACTGATAATGTCTGTATTTGAATGGGCGACATCTTTACAATTCTGAGAATAAACATTCTTACAATTTCGCTTACTATTTTGCTAGAACACCTCGAATTTGTCAGAAGGTTGCAAAGGGATTTTGTGGCGAATACACTGAGCCACACTAAAAGACACTGGATACATCTCTCATTGCAAACAGCTGCTGAGTAAATAAGTATCTTGTAACCGGAATATCGGCAAAGTTTAAAACAAATAATTATGCACTTGGAGGGGGGGGGGGGGGCCGGGGGGGCGTTCTTTAAAACATATAAGTTATACGGAATGTTTATAAAGCAGTTCAGCTTTCAAAATACATGTGTAAATCGACTGCAGCAAATAATGCAGTTAAGATTCAGTGATGCTCATCAAGTTGTCTGGTTGGGCATTGTCAACCTTGTAACGAGGAGTAGGGAAGGACCGGCAACGAAGAAATAAGAAGAGACGTAGTCAAGATATGGACGACAAGACGGGAGATCACGTGATGCCCTAAATCCCTAATGGCAATAAACTGAGACTATATATTTATATGTCCAAATTGATAGAAGTGTTTGCTATTTTTTACTCTTTTTAGTTTTACCCTTTATTATATTTACTATTGTGCATGTTATAACATATCCAACATATTGCATTTCAAGTCTTGCTCGATGTAAATAATCTCCTCGCTGCAATTATTATTTCATTACAAGCGGGCCACAAATGGGGGCAAGATAGGAGAGAAAATTTGGGGCGTACCACAAATGTGCCACAAATGTGCCACAAATGTGCCACAAATGTGCCACAAATATTGAGAATACATCGCCTCGAATTAGAGTCATTTATTCATCGAATCAACTTTATCAATTTCGGGGTATCCGCTGGTCAATAACATTGCTTGAGCTATCCGAATACAACTGCTATGACATACTTTTCGGTCAGAATCTAAAGTATCCAGTTTTTAAACTATACGGTTCCAAACGAATGCAACTTTTCTTACAAATTTTCTATTAAATTTAAGTCAATTTGTTTAAGTTATCTAATGATTAATAATTTGAATATTACTTTTGTAAAAATCTCTAACTGAAACTATTTGCAAAATGTTGTCTGCTACAGGATTAAACGGAATATAAATATTCTGCATGTAATTTAATTTAAAAAACGGGTATATTTTATACGCGTGGGACAAGTTTCCAAATAAAGAAACGGCACTGCCAGTTTATAATCGGCTCAAGTAAGTAGAGTAAGTAAGAACTTGAAATATGCATGGAATCAGAATGGATCAAATACAGTAGTTGATTGTTTTATTTAAATCTTTAAGACTTTCTAAAGAGACTTTCTATAAAGAGACTCACTAAAATAGGAATTATAATACTCATTGTACTGTATTGGAACATTTGAATTTATCAAAAGCAAGAACAATAATTCAACATGGAAAATTACCATAGCAATGTTTACCACCTCTGTTACATTTATCTAGATCACAAGACGATTATAATACACTTGAATGTATTGGCACGAGTTCTGAGTGGAAGCTCAACGGAACGAAGCAGAGGTCAGTTGAACAAAGTAAGAGTTAAGAACACATGTGCTCTAACATGGATATTGGATATAACTGGTTTCCCCAATCATATAGTACAGTCAAATTCTGTTTACTTGTGCCTGCCCTAACCAGTCTGAGCATTTTTCCAATGTAAACATTCTTTGTCGCCATTGTTTTTATATGGACACGTTCATTTGAGTTTGACGATATCGGTAAACAAAAAAATAGCGTTTTCCGATGATAGTGGCTTAATTTTGGTATTTATTAATCTAGCATGTTCAAAAATGTGACAAAATTAACATTTTGTGCCTCAACAATGTAAATTTAATGCGGAAAACTGGCTGCTATATTTCTTGTATTAATCAATTCCAACCATAATAAGAATGTCGATGTGAACAAAAAATTATCAAACTTTTAAAACAACTTATGTGACGAAATTTACATTGCTTGCCTTATTTTGAAGTTCACGATAATCTCTATTAGAATTCAATATAACTTTATCATCATGAAGATGTCGATAAACTAGTTTATCTTCCAGCAAGGAGCAAACAGAGTTATAATATTTTTGGTGACAAAATTAACCTATTTTCTACCATGTTTTGATGTTTCAATTGTGACACTGTAAACATATTACTACCACATACAAATTTATGTGACTGGTGCGTGGTTGTAATAGTGTTGATTGATCCAGTATGTAATATAGGGTGTTCAAGCTGGTATATCAATATTTTCTCAATTTCACACATGTTCAGATATCATCAAGAGTATGTGACAAAGTAAATTTATTTGTGCCTTCTGTGTGTTATTTGCTTGTGACTATATGATAATATAACAATTCCCAGCACTTCCAGGTCATCAAGTTATCCTACACTACTCAGCATTGCTTATCAGGGTGCCCTAAACATTCCTCATATATTTTCTTAAATGTGTGACGGAGTAAACCTTGGCGCATCATTTAACGAAAAAAGTCGTAAAATATGTAGGTAATGGTCATATAATGTCAGAGGCACATATTAGGTGCGGTAAAAAAATCGAAATTATGCGGTACCGCACCCGACTATAAAGGTAAAATGTGCGGTAAGTTGCGGTAAATTTTTACCAATTATGCGGCAAATGTGCGGCGATTTTTTCGAAATTTGTGCAGGAATTGTGCGGTTTTCTTTTGCATTTTCTCAAGGACTTTGGAAATTCTAAACGTATAACCGCCGCTCTTATCAAAAATAGGTCTGTTTATGTGTTACTGAGGGTGTAGTTCTTTACTAAGACCATGATTGAACCTATATTGAGATTCAGTTATCTGAGAACAGTGACTTAGAGTAATCAGATGATGTGGTGAAGTTACGAATGATAACTGATAAACTATAATCAAAGTATGGTAACGACGAGGGTTTCATAACGGCCTGGGTCACGGTCCCGAAAGGGCCTGGGTCACGGTCCGAAAGGGCCTGGATCACGGTCCCGAAAGGGCCTGGGTAACGGTCCCGAAAGGGCCTGGGTCACGGTCCCAAAAGGGCCTGGGTCACGGTCCCAAAAGGGCTTGGATAACGGTCCCGAAAGGGCCTGGGTCAGGGTCCCGAAAATGCCTGTGTCACGTGGTAACTGGGTCACGTGGCCTAGGTATGAGTTCCAAAAGGGCCTGGGTCACGGTCCCGAAAGGGCCTGAATCACGGTCCTAAAAGGGCCTGGGTCAGGGTCCCGAAAGGGCTGAGTCACGGTCCTAAAAGGGCCTGGGTCAGGGTCCCGAAAGGGCCTGAGTCACGGTCCTAAAAGGGCCCGACTATAACATATTTTGGTTTTTACACTCGAAAATCTTAACGCGAAAATTTCAAAATTATGCGAAATTACGCGGAAAATGCTAGATTATGCGGAAATATGCAGAAAATTACAAAATGTGCGGACATGTGCGGAAAACAATAAATTATGCGGACATGTGCGGAAAACGGTAAATTGTGCGATCCCGCACCCATCGCACCTAATATGTGCCTCTGTATAATGTACCCATCCTATCAACTGGACACTCAAAAATTTGGTCAAACACAGCAACAAGGGGTCCATATTTACTTCGTTACATGTTTATAGTGTGACCATGCTCCATGTAAACGTTTGCTCCTATGTAGGGCATAAAACTGTGACGGTTAAAACTGCAATTTCATGTAAGGTTGAGGGTGTGTGGTTATAAAAATGTTTAGTTTAACTGTGGTCCTATTTTAGAGCGATGTGACCTAGTATGGTGCAACTTTCTCAATACATATATTAGCTACTCTGATCACAGTCGTAGAGTATAGTGTATCACAGTATTGTCACCCATATTTGAGTGGGTGACTTTATCCTAACAACCAGAACAGTCTGGTGACACACAATCTTACTCTTATCTTGGAATGTAGTTGGTATTATCTTACTCTG